TTTAAGCACAGTCTTAGACTGCCAACAGACTCTCTATGTGTGTTCTCAGAGAAGACTCACCAATTGTCTGCTTGCTAGTTCTTCAGAGTGGCTGCCGATTCCAGTCAGAAATCAACAGGTTTGGTATCTCCCATTTATTTAAACATTAATTGCACTTTTATTCATGTTCATCTTGCTGCTTCACCCGTTGATTGTTTAACGGATCTGCTCATTGAATTTAGTCTTTTTTCTTTTCGTGATTCAAGGGTTATCGCGCATTCAATTTATTTTAATGAAATTTAATCCATTCGTTTTTGTGAGAGGGAACGTGGTCTTTCAAGTGTGAATTTTTACGCCAAGCTTCTGCAACTTCTTGTCAAGAGTACCTCCTCCTCCTCCTCTCAGCAACACTTGTTTCTCTTCCTCATCTTAGTCATTTTCTTCTCTTTTTGTGCTTTCCTACTTTTTGACATGCCAGTGAAGGAGAACTAATTCTTTGAATTTGTTCGACTCCGATGCAGGTACACAATCGTTGAGGGCGAACATGATCTCTGGAAGGGTGTGTCGGATCCGTACAAGGACACAATCCGCGCATTCCTTGTGCATTTTCACACACAGGTGTGTGTGTGTGTGTGTGTGTGTGTGTGTGTGTGTGTGTGTGTGTGTGTGCACCGCAAATTGAAGAATATTAAAAGTGTCAAAATAAATTTAAATAACTGTGTTTGTGTTTTTGTTGTTGTTCATTGTTTCCACTCTGAATGTTTAGACTTTGAAAGTGGAGGAAAAAGGGGCGGCGCTGTCCACGCTCTCTCTCCGCTCTTCCATAGTCTGGAGGAAAAAGAGGGAAAAGGGGGGGGCAGCGGCCCCCCCTTTTCCCTATTTCCTCTGGAAGCAGGGCAAAGGGGGAGGAGTGCGCGGCTACTGTGCGGCACATGAGGACGTCCGTGTTCTTCTCCCTTTTCCTCCTGGCTACAGAAGAGGGGAGAAAGACCAAGAGAGGGTGAAGATAACCTTTTTTTTTTTCTGACTTTCGTGCGAAGACCAAGAGAGGGTGATAATTTGGTGTGATATTGTGTTCAAGTCCATCATACAGCAGTCCCGGACCAAGGAATATAAATCGTGGATTTTTCTTCAGATAAACTTCTAAACGTTTAATTCTTTTTTTGCTGTTTTTGTACGTAACGGGGAAGGGGGAGGGGGGGTGGGGGGTGCGGCGGTGTGGGTCTGGGGCGGTTTCTCCTTTCCCAGTTATTATTCCGTGTCTATTATCAGGGAAGTTCCCCTCCCCCCCCCGCTTCCCCCCCGCAAAAAAAGCAGAGGGAACCTTTGCGAGAGTTACGGTGGAAAGTTTTTTCAACTTTCTGTACTGTTATCTTTTGCTTACGGTCTTCATGCGAATAGAACACCTGGTCACTATAGCTGTATTCGGGGCAACTTTCAGTCCAGGTACAGCGATACTGACCGGGGCATTCTGTTCGGGTGAAGTATTCCTACGGAATATACTTGATTCTTTCTAGATGCTTCTGATTTTTCCCCCCCCGAAATGCTACATTTGAAGATAAATAATCATGGCTACGCTGGACCCGGGCTTGGACATTTCCGGACATGGAACTGGACCCGTGTCCGGTAGTTTCCGGACGTCCGGACATGGGGGATCCGGACGGTCCGGATGTCTGGTCAGGTCCAGAAATGTCCGGAGTCCAGACCATAAAAAAAAAAAAAGAAACTGAAAAAAAAGTATGTTATGCAGAATAACAATGCAAACCACTTTTGCCTCAGAGTCATGTCAGAATTCCTAACCAAACTCGAGTTAAAAGTCAAAAACCTAGGCTACCAGCCGGGCCGCCCGGGTCCCTGGTGGCCAGCCCGTGCAAGGACCAGCGAAGGTCCAAGCAAAAAACAACAAAAACAAAAAAACTCAAAAAAATCCGAAAAACAACTATGTTATGCAGAAAAATAAATCGAACAACTTCTGCCTCAGGGCCACATCGAAATTCTTCACCGATTTTTTTTAAATTTTTTTGGCCTGGCCGGGCAAGTGACCCCGGGCCACTCTGGTAGCCTAGTAAAAAACTATAAAAAGACTTTAAAAACTAATAAATAAAAGGTAATGAATTATTAATAATTAAAAAATTGGGGTTGAAACAGTTTTCACCTTTGGCAGTAGCCGATGCAGATCCCAGGGGTCGATCCCTTGACCTCAGCTTACCTGTGTACAGTATCTGCACAGTTCCCTGGAGTTGAACCCGTGACCTGCACGATAGCCAGTGGTAAGTAGGTCGCCGTAGGTTGTAGGCTGTAGGGAGATTCGAACTGTAGACCTGTAAGGTAGGAGTCCAAGTAGAGTCCAGAGGCCTAGCTTTAGTCCTTCTAGAAGGTCG